TTTTTGTTTCACCATGACTAGCACCAGTATTAAGAGGGCCACTTGATGTTACACCAATTAAATCGAATAAATTTTGTTTTAAGATCTTCATGAACGCCTCAAGTTTGCGAAAATATAGTGTGTGAACAATCGTATAAACACAATATGTATATGAAATAAAATAAAGAACCAATCACAGACACCGTGACAAGTTTATAAATATTAACGTACATACATACGTAAATAGTAAAAAATGCATACAATGACGTTTTTCACTTGCATAAATTTTAATTTTATAGCCTTGTTTTTGATTTTGAATTTTATAGCCTTTCTAGCCTTCTGAAATGAATTTTTATGCTTTTAATTGTTATTAAAATTTATGAAATCTACATAAATGTGAAACAAATAGTTTTTTTTAATTTCAATATTTAATTTTAAATAGTTTGCTTTACAATTACTTCTAAGTCTCGTTAGTATAATAGTTATTAAAGTTTTCAACCGCTAATAACACCAATGTAATTTTCAATTACTATCTTATTCGTTTTAAAATGTTAGACTAAAATTGTGCGAAAACAATATTGTAATAAAAGTAGAGGTTTTACTAGGATATAGTAATGGAAATAAATAAGAGGAATTTCTTTATATATATGTAAGTACAGAACAGACGACGTTGGGAAATGACGTTGGGAAACGTCGTCTGTTCAAGTGAAAATAGTGTTTTTAAAAACGAAGTAGCTATGTACTACATTATTAAAATTATTTTCATTCGTATACGAATATGTTTCAGAGATTGCATGCATGTAGGATGTGCAAAGTATGCATTCCTTTAAAAGAAAACAGAAAAAAAAAATAAAAAGATGTTTACACAATGCTCGAATTTAAAGGTTAACTATGAGAGTTAAGAAGAATAACTATATTTTTTGATGGTATTTAATTTGCCATTAGCTTTCTGCATTTATAAAAATTTGAAATATCACGTAGTTTCCAAAAATTCAAATTTTACAAATTTCGAGAGACTATAACTTGACAGGCGGTTGAATTGAAAAAAAATTTCTAACGTGATGAACTGTTTATTAATGTCTAAAAGGTGTTAAAATTTTAGACCACTACAACCTGAGGTCTAGAACAAATACGATATCAAAAATTTGGGAACAACGCATTCCGATAACGGTAAATTTTAGCAGCTATTTCGTTTTTGTAAAGTTCAAGTACAGTGTACCGCGGTACAAGATACCAGCCACTACTCTTCTGAAAATTTGGAAAATGCTTGTGGTTGCAATAAATATTTGAAAAATGAAATTCTTAGGAATTTGGAAGGTTATTTCTTTAAGAGGGGGGAACACAGGTAAACTTTTCTTCTACGGAAGTGCGTAGTAAAGATCTATGTACTTACGAAATTTCAGCTTTATTGAAGGGTGTCGAAGTTTTGTAAACATGTTCATTAATTTTTTCAAATTTTTTTTGGAAAAGTCATATGTCATCTGTCACCTGTACATTGTCATCTATCACCTGTGACCTCTCACCAATCATAATTGTGTATTCAAAATTTAATTTACGAATTTATTCTAATCACATATATATATATACATACATATGTATATTCACAAATAAAGAATAATTTATAGTTCAATTTATGAAAAGAAATTAGATAGCTAACAGTTGACATTTGAAACTTAAGAGTTGACAGGTGGCAAATAACAGGTGAAAGTTGGCAGTTGAATTTTGGCAAGTACCAGGTGAGAGCTGACAGTTGACAGGTGAGAAATGACAGATGATAATTGACAGGTGACAGACAGGTGACAGACAGGTGACAGTTGACAGGTGACAGAATTACGGCCGGATAGAGCGAAACTAATTAGTATTTTTTTTAATTTTTTTTTGTAAAAGTGCTTAAAAACGAATGAATTTCGGAATTCCGAAATTCGGATTTGGATTTCCTAGTCATTTCTAAGGAACTAGTTAGCTTGTTACTGTCATTCGGATTGATATAATTCAGAGGTTTTAGAAAATGTTCTTCTGTGTTGTAATCAGATGTAAAACTTTTGTAAATATTCAAACAGGTTTAAGTAAATTTGAAATCTATTTTTTTTTCTTTCAAAAGCTTGAAAAACGTGAGTAGTTATTAATGACAATTAACTTTAAAATATACCGATAACAATATTTTTTGTTTATGAATATTTTAATTTGTTTTACTTCCAACTTATTAATTAAATTAAAAAAAAATATAGTTATTTTTATATAAAGAAAAAAAAATGAAGATGAATATTTAAATTTTTAGTTTATGGTCTACAAACTTGTTTCGAAATTTCGGTATTGTTTGTTTAGTTTTTCAAATGATTTAAATTAGTGGCTCCTTGATTCTTCAAATATCAACATTTAAAAGATGACTAAGTGATTTAAGTGTGAATTAATTTTTTAAATGACTAGACATACAAGTGTACATTCACTTTATATAATAATAATATGGATAAAAATGTATCGTATATATGTATGTATATATATTTTAGGCAAAAGTGTACTTTGGCGTCTTTAATATATGTATGTATGTTTGCATCTTATTAATTCCATAAAAGAAAAAAATTATTGTATTGTAAATTTGCGTAAAATTCGAGGGAATTTCGCACGGCTAACTAGAATTTTTGGGGATTTTATAAATTTTTTTTTTTCATCTTTTATTGAATAAATTTATTTTTCTTTTGATTGAAATTCTGAAAAATGTTTACAAATTGGATTTTATAAATATAAATTTACACGAGAAATTAAAAATTAAACACCAATCACTACCAATTATTAATTTTTGATAAATTGAATCACATTTTTTATATGAACGATTTTTGATTCATTTTTTTTTTTTGGTTTTTTAATTAATCATTTCTTTTTTTTTTACCTTTATTGAAATTATTTTTAGAAATTGACTTTTTATAGACCTTGAAAATGTGTCTTTTATATTACAATTTTTTTGAAGTTCATGAATTTCATGAGAAAAACTTTCAAAAGTAAATTTTTTGCTTCGTAGTTTTACTTAAGATTCTTATGATGCTTGTAGCTGGCAGCATCTAGAATTTTCGTATAGTTTCAGAACCAAAATGCGAATTGTATTCTAAAATAATTCAAAAATTTGAATGTTTAATTTATATATGAAAATGTTCGGTTAAAATTAAACAATGCCATTTTTAGGTACCTTCTATTAAAAATCCAATTTAAAATTTTTCCAGTAGTTTCAATTTTTCAGGACAACAACTTGAGCGAGAGTTATGTCGATAATCCCAGCAATTACAATATGCTAGTAGCTTCCATGGAAGGAATTTAGAAAATAAAGTTCGATAATTGAGTGAAAAATTGGAGAAAACAATGCGGTATTAATCTATGATTATATCATAAAATACTCGTAAGTCTTATCCTCTTCTAATAAGGTTGTACCTAGAGGATTATGTAGTAAGTAATGAATTATAGCGATTTACGAATTGCCTGGAATAATCTGTCTGTGTGGTATATATATATATAATATGTATATGTGCAATATAAAGTCGTCTGATGCTAAAACTATTAACTTATGATATAACGCAGGCTCTGGTGTAGTTAAAATTTGTAGAACGAGAAATGTACACCACAAACAAAACCTAAGCGAACGAGACGAAACCAGTTTGTAAAATACCATTGCAACTAAAAGAGCAAAAATTATATTTTCGAAAAACATGGAGTTCGTAAAACATGTTCATATTGCATACAAAAGTTCATTAAACATCTTCAATAAATTATAAGTGGTTTAAATTAAAAATTTTGCAATATTTCCGATTGCTTAATAGTTTGTTTGAAATTCTTAATAACTTTAAATTTTAATTAACTAAATGCTATGCTCTTGAATGAATAATTTAATTATATAGTATAGGCAGCATTGGTGTATTAATAAATATTCGGTTATTTAATATGAAATGAAAAAGTTATTCAAATGACGTTTTTTTTTGTTTTGTTATGACTGACGAATTCATATTCTGGAATAACCCACCCTATTTATTCATTTTTTCTTATATTAAATATGATCAGACATTTTGCAGTACATTACACAATAAAATAAAATATCAAGTTCGTGTTATTTATTTAAAAAAGTTCCGGTCAAATATGAAAGATGCAGATGCAAATAAAAAAGATATACTACACCACTACACCACATTCCATTTTTGTACGAATTTTTATATTATAAAGTTTTTAGTAAAATGCCTATTCTAAAAGAAATGAATGATTAAAAGTTTAAGACCTATTGCGAAAGTGTTATTAGATGATGTTTTTAAATAGGGTAAAATCAGACCGATTTTGAAAATTCGAACAAAACTGTAAAGATTTCCGAGATCTTCTCAATGGATAACACATTTGAGATACCTGTCAGTATCGATCGTTCCTATATACTTGCAAGATGTGGTGGTGTACAATAAAAACAAGCATCCGTGCAGAATTTCAATTCGTTAGCTCTTTTCGTTTCAAATTGGCATTTTAATAACAGACGAACAGGCAGATTGTAAAACAACATAGCCAAATTATCTTTTGTTTTTATTATTTGAATTATTTGAATTATTACTTGAATTATATAGTTTCAAGTCACAAATAATAATAACTAAACTAATATTCATTAGTTATTTATTGCTATTTTAAGTGCAAAAATAGAATTAGGTGTACTTAATTAATAATTGGATTTAAATATTAGAAATATGTATGTATGTATATATCAAGCTTTGTGTAGAATTTTTGCTTACTATGATTCAATTTATTTAAATTCATACTATAAAAAGTTTAAATCAATTCTCTGAAATATTTTTCCAGAAATCTTATATATCTACTGCTTAGTTATTCATATCTCTATATAGACGTCTTGTAATTTTTTACTTTTTTAATGTTAATTATAAAATCATATTCAAAACTAATGATTATTTTGCGATTTCGGGAAAGTATTAATGTTATTTATGAGAAAAATATTACAATTAACGATTTCAGATGAGATTGTTATTGATGAGTGAGTGTTCGATAATAAGCACTTAAAATTAGATGGATAAAGAAAAAATCAGTCAGTTTAAGATAAATCTTTGCAATGAAAACATATAAGAATATTATAGTTGGGATTACTTTTGTGGCTATATTTGGTAAAAACTAAATCTCCTTAATTGCAAACTTTTTTGAAATTGATGTAAATCTTTATATAACAAGAACTATTTAAAACAATAATATTATAGGATTAAACCATGTGAAAGGATATGGTCATGGGACAGTTACGGCGGGTTTATCTACTGTTGATGTTGATAAAATAGAAAAACCCGGTATCTTAACATTAGATGCTGCAATAAAAGGTGGAGGTGATTTAAACATAAATGAAAGTGGTGAGCATCATCAGCAACAAGTACATCATGAAAATCAACAAAATGTCAAAATAGGTGGTATAACAACAAGTAGTTCTGAATTTAGTTTAACAAAAGGAGGAGATGTAAACCAAGAAAATATTGATAAAGCAGTTCATGAATTGCAATCAGCCGTCCAAGATATTTTAGCATCAGGGGGTAAAGGATCTTTTGAAGTGCATTTACATTCTTCCGGATCTGACAAAAAGTGCTTAGGGGACATATGTAATCTTCAACCTGGAGGAGTTGAAAAAATTATTCAACATAATGAACAATCTGGGCAAGGTACCATATCGGCTACCGAAGAACATCACGTTTCCTTGCCACAAGAAGTGAATATTAATACAGCTCTTCATTCTAGTAATATCGTACAAGAAATGTTAAACAAAGCATCAAATATACATCATCAAGAAAATTTAGAATCTGATTTAAATTTATCTGCTCAAAAACATTTCATTTCAAATTCTGAACAGAAGGAACATCATACTGCAAGCTTGGAAACAGGAAGTTTAAATGCGGGCGGTAATATCGCTCATTTAGATGATGGCGGTCTCAATATTCATAAAATAGGGGGTATAAAAACAACCAATTCAGAATTTAGTTTTACAAAAGGAGGAGCCGTAAATCAAGAAAATATTGATAAAGCAGTTCATGAATTACAATCAGCTGTCAAAGACATTTTAGCATCAGGAGGTAAAGGATCTTTTGAAGTACATTTACATTCTTCCGGATCTGACAAAAAATGCTTAGGGGACATATGTAATCTTCAACCTGGAGGGGTTGAAAAAATTATTCAACATAATGAACAATCTCAGCAAAGTACAATATCAACTACTGGAGAACATCACGTTTCCTTGCCACAGGAAATAAACATTAATTCAGCTCTTCATTCTAGTAATATCGTAAAAGAAATGTTGAACAAAGCATCAAATATACATCTTGAAGGAAACTTAGAATCTGATTTAAATCTATCAGCTCAAAAACATTTAATTTCAAATTCTGAACAGAAGGAACATCATACTGCAAGCTTGGAAACAGGAAGTTTAAATGTAGGCGGTAATGCTGCTCACTTGGATATTAGCGGTCACAGCATTGATAAACCTATTAATACTTTTGTTGAAGATAATATTGGTTCAATATTGAAACCCAGTAGCGGTGTAACAGGTAAAAACAAATATGTAAGTTAAAATTCATTTAATTAATGGCAAATTTTTAAGAGCACAAAGCTCACGGGACAGGATCACATATTTCAAGTAGCGGAACTATCATTTCTTCGAGCGAAGCAGGACATGCATCTCACAAAATTGACGAATCCATTCAACATCAAAAAAATCCCAATGGTGGTTTGTATAACAATTATAAGCCATGTTTTTTCAAATTCATTTAAATTTAGTTATGCTGTTTAAAATAACTTAATTTAAATAATTATTTTTAGGAATAAATATTGAAGCGACACATACAAATGGTTTTCCGAATTTCGGTTCAAGTGCATCACAATCGGTAGCCTATGGAAATGCGGGTTCATTTGGCGGTTACGGTTCTGGTGGTTTTGGTTTTCAAGCTAACCCTAACTTATATGGAAGGCACCCTGGTAGACAAAACTTTCATTTCGCAGGAGGTCATCATGGGCACCTAAGTAACGGAGGTTTCGGAATTTTCCCGGTGCACCCCAGCTATCAAATTGGTTTCACTGGTTTTGGAGCAGGGGTACCCACTGGAGATTTTAGTAATGGTATTGTAACAGATGACACATATGGAAATTCTTACAGTTTATATGGAGGCGCAAACGGAGCTCATGTAATTTCAGGCATGAGTTTAGAAGGAAGTGGTCCTGGTGGAATTCTAACTCCAAGTAAGGAAAGTTTTGAATCTCATGTAGGATCTCATGAACAGGGCTCTGGTAACAAAGTAATACATAGTATAAGCAGTTTAGAAACAGGCGTGGTTAATAATGCGGCAATTCAAAACACAAATCCTGAACTGAGTGGTGTTGGTCTTCATACTTATGAAAGCGGGGAACCATCAATTATAAACGACAATAAATACATACATGCTGCAAATATTAATGAGGATAATAAGGGTAATATTGGTCATGTTAGCGAAAATGGTAAAAAAAAAATTACCCATCATGAACAACAGACAATCCACAAAACAATCCATAAAGATGGAAAAGTTATCAATAAGAATATCCATAAAAGTTCTACTCACACCGTAACCAAGCATGGTGGATCTCGCGAAATTAAAAAGGATGAAGCCCATTTAATTAACCCAAACGCTGAAAGTCAATTTTTACCTCTTAATGTTGCCGAAGATGGGAAACATAAAATCGAAGCTGGTGAAATTCATAGCAATACCGGAACTTTGGCAGCAGGTGCGCATGTCGATAGCAGCCTTTTGGCTCAAAAAATGAATGAAGCACATTTAGGAACCAATTTTCAGACTAATATAGACAAGATGGTTCAAGCAGGCCATGCTTTTGAAAATGAAGATTATGTGTCTAGTTTGGCCACTCAAACAGGTTCAGGCATCCATAGTGCTTCCACCGCTATTGGGAGTCATCATTCCAATGTAAAAGGTCCTGTTGATAGTCAGAATACTTTGGGTATTGGAGTTCATAAAACCGTTGGATCTCAGCAAAATAGAAATCATGCGGGAATCGGTTTCAATGGAGAAAGTGCGTTTGGTGGTTATGGTGGTTCAGGTGGCTTAAACCATCAACATGTAGGCTTTACCGGTTATGGCTCTGTACCATTAAGAGGTTACAGTGGAAATTATGGAGCTCCAAATTATAACTTTAGAACTTCTTTCTTAAGCGGAGGATTTGGAGGTTATGGAAACAATCCAATTACAGGTTATGGAATTACGATACCGTCAAAGGAACCAATTATCAACTTGCAAGGGGGTAAAGGTTACGGCGGTCATTATGGCAAATGAGTGATTTTTAATTAAATTAAGTTTTTTGTAGTAAGGATTTCTAAAAGTATTAGTAGCTAGAATTTTTTTATAAACAATATATGCGTTAAAAAATAAAAAACAAAAATTTTTAAATTTCCTCCAAAATGTTAAGATAAATAAATAAATTATTGTCTCCATAAAATGAAGGTTATTAAACTTGCTTACGTGCGTGTAGCTTTAATTTGTTGATATTGCAACGCGCAGTTTAGGGTATCCAAAAATTTCAAATTTTTCACTAAAAATAGCTTTTAACTAAAGTCAACATCTTTTGTTTAATGAGTTTTGCAAAAAATAAACTTTTTTTCCCAATAGACTTCATTGATCCATAATTTGCTTTCGGTAAAAAACCATGTCTATCACTCTGCTTCGGAGTTCTATTGTATCTTGATCATTTCTACATTAAAATGTAGATATTGACTTGATATTATGTATTCATATTTTGTTTACCATACATCTATTGGTACAAACATTTTTACATTTTATCAGTTGAATATTTTGTATTCAAATCAATTTTTAGGACACATTAAGAAATTATTCATTCTTGTCTAAATCAATTGCAAAATCTTCATCTTGTATAAAATAAGATTGTAAGATTTTTATTACTAAAAATTTTTCTTATATAAAACTACAATTTTTAATGATAAATTATGCCAAGTATGTTAATTATAATGTTGGATATAGCTAGGACAAAATATTTCTAATATTCACAATAAAAATTTGATTAGAGAGTGTATATTGACCATCTTAGTGAAGTGACCGTAAATAATATTTGGAATACATACAACTATCTGGAAGAATGCAAGCACTAATTTAAAATAATTATTGCGTATATAATAGTATATTATACAATTATACTGTTTTTAATTCAGTTTTCAGAATTTTTCCAAAAAATTTTTGAAAAAAAGTGCGTATTAGTTTCACCCTGTTCGTCCATCCGTCCGTGGGCATGTTTACATAACTTCTATACGCTTGAATATAGAAAGCTGAAATTTTATATGCACATAAATCTTTACTAAAAACTTATTTCTGTGGAAGAAAATTTTTACGTATCTCCCCCCTCTAGAAGTTATACCTACCAAAACCCTAAAAATGCCATTTTTAACTATTTATTGCAGTGAAACCATAAGCATTTTTCAAATTTTTGCAAACGCAGAAACGCAGTGGCTTGCTTGTCTTATTGGGGCATACTAGAGTAAAACTTAAAAAAACTTGGCCGTTCAAATTTACTGTTATCTAAAATCCGTTTTTTCCAAAATTTTTATGTCGGTTTTCTTCTAGATCCCAGGTTATAGGAACCTGAAATTTTAGTACTTTTTATTAGCAAGTTATCGCTTCTTGAAATTTGTAAAATTTGAATTTTTGACGCCTTATATTTCCGAAACCGCATGCTTTTTCAAATTTCTATAAACGCAAAAAGCTAACGGTAAATTCTATGAAATAAAACCCACGCAATTAACCCTTAAAATCGAGCATTGTGTTAACGCCTCTTTACATAAATTCTTGCTTTATTTCAAAGAGTGCATAAATCGTTTATCCTAAATATATGCAAACCTAGAAATAGTTTCGTTTATGAATGAAAATAATTTTAATAGTGTGATAGGCATACACATATACTGCATTTAAAAGCAGTACTTTCACTTGTTGAAGGGAAAAGTTGAAGCTACAATACAAACCATTGGTTTCACCCAACTTTATTTATATCCAGTTTCGGGTTTATTTTTTTGTAATTTTTTCCTTAACATTTTTTTTTACAAAAAATTGAAGATCGTTGAAGAAATAACAAAAAGGAAATCGAAAGCATTTAAATGTTAATTTGTATGGCAATTTGAAACATAAATTGGTGCTGGCTCTTAATACATAAAAAGTCTTTACACTCCAATCTAAGGAGTAACTAATAAGTTATCCTTAGTACTAATAACAGAGTCTTGTTTTGGTTGAATTAAAAAATTCTTCTATACAAAACTTTCTTCAAATACAAAATATTAATCAAAACTATTTTGTATATACACAAAATATTTATTAATAATAATAAAGATTAATAATAATGAAAAAACTTGTTTGTTTACTTTCATTCTTAAGTATACGAAATGGTCTATGCACATACAGACATACATAAATATTATTCCGAAGTATAAAACTGTTAAATGGTTTTAAAATATTAGACAACAAAAAAATTGATACTTATTGTTGAAAAATCAAAATGAAAGCACTGAATAATTAATTTGTTATTAAAAAATTATATATATATGTATATGTATGTACATACACATATTTTTCAACTTAATTTCTTAATTTTTTTAAACAATATTGTTTGTGCTCCTCTCATTACCTTTGTCAATGATAAAATATAATATTATTATTTATTAATAAATATCAGTTATGAAATCATTAAAATCCGGTTTTTATCAATTTATTTTTTAATATTTTCATAAATACATATGTATACACTAATATGTATATATGCATATAAGAAATAAATTTATATGTACATACATATATATACAAAAAAAATGTGAATGTGATGTGCTCACCACATAACCGACCGCAATCTGTATTGCCTAGTTTAGTGAAAGTGTTACAGAAGATTATGAAAATCCCTTTTCAACATTTCCTTTTATAAGGGAGTTGGTAAGCTTTTAGTTAACATACCTAGAAAAGTGTAAATGTGGTTCTTAACAGAATTTCGTTTGTGCCAACCTGAACTCAAATATCAAATTTCAAGAAATTCCATCAACCCGTACCTCATAGATGTGGTAAAAAATATAAAATCGGCCACCAGTTCGGTTTCCGAAAAGGTCTGATCTTTCCAAAAAATCCTCTCCTTATAATCGCAAAAATATCAAGTTAAATCGGCCCGCAAAAAGGTCAAGTTCCTGAGGTTTGATCAATCCGTGCCATAGCCGAAATAAACTCATATATAAAATTTCATGAAAATCGGTTCAACCGAACTTGAGATACCCGCGTACACTAAAGATTTAAGTAAAGTTTATTTACGCTTCCCTTCTATATAGAAGTTCCCATCGAAAACTCGACATCTGAATTTTGATGCCATTACATAATCTCCCTTATTATATACAATGCGGTTGATAAAAATTAAAACTTAAAGACAAGCGGCTTACAAGCAATAAAAAGGTAAAAAATATAGTGTAGTGTTATAGAAATTTTTAGTTATTAGGTTTAAGAAGGGTTGGGGAAACACCCATATATTGGGAAGTATCGATATATAGTTCCAATTAATTCTTGCATAATCGATTGTTATAGAATATAATATAATCGATCTTATATATGTATATATATATATATATATGTATATTTATGCAGATCTATAACTTATTTGTGGGTTCCTTCTTTTTGATTTCTTTATTTCTTCTTTCATCATGTTCGAATATGCTTACAATTCAGAAGTGTTAGAGAATACGATTGCTTTATTTTATGGTGTCTCAGATTAGTAACATTATAAGTCATAAAATTGTTTGGGAAATAAGCAAAACTATATTAGTGTCCCTGCTCAAAAATTAAGTTTATACTATTGAAAGAAGAAAGTTACCACTTTTAATAAAATTATAAATTTCACGGTAAGTTTTGAAAGTTAAAAATTTTCTGACACTAAAATTTATATCAGAAGCGCTATTAAAAATGGTTCTGCAATTTATCGTTTTTTGATTAAGAGCGACATTCAAGGTATCGACATCAATGATCTCAGTTCGATTTCATATTCCCATAAAATTTCATCAATTAATATTATTGCAAATACAAACATACATATATTTCTTAAGAATATTTATAATTTATTAAAATATTGTTGAAAATTAAAGTTGAATTATTTGAATGCTCTAAACATAAGCTTTCAATGAAAGAAAGATTAATGGCAAAAAAAAAAAAATAAGTAAAAACAAAAAGTGTTAACCAAAGGGGAATAACTATATGCGAGAAAATATTGTGTTTTTGTCTGTAAAACCTTTCATGAAAAATTATAATTAATGTTAATTTATCAATCTTGTTAGCATAAATAGCAATTAAGATATTTATGAAGATATAGCTAGCGTCTAAAATTTTCGTCTGGGCACCAAATGATCAATATTGCATTGCATACACAAGCTCATAATTATAACTCGATGTTCTACTTAAGTCTTTTAGCAGGAAGATACCTTGGAGTATTTTAACCTTTTCGATCAACTTGCTATTCCTAGTTAAAAAAATTTCTTTGGTAATGGGAGACAACTAGATGAATTCAAAACAATCAGTTTACAATTGCATTGTACAATTACAAAATTTTTTAATAATTTTGATCGTACTTTTCTCAAGAATCAACCTACAAAATAATTTCTAATGTACAAAACAAGGATCAAATTATAATAAACGAAATATCAGCTGAAAATATGTACGCTGAGGGTTATACATATGTTTTTGTGACATTATTAAAGCTTTATATAAGGTTAGAGATGTATGTGAAGTCTTTGTATACCGTTATTTAATAATTTCACCGCCTTAACAAATCAGCAGATCTGCGAAATTAAATATATGTAGATAGCCTAGGCATGAATATCTTTACAAGAATATATTGTTTATTTTAAGTATTGATACAAGCTGAAATGTTAGCGGAAATCGTGTAGATGCATTTCTAGGTAGAATTCATTCGGATTAAAGAGCAATTATTTTTTACTAAAGACCTTAAAAATCACCTTTAGCAGAATAAAACAAATCCATTCTATATATTACGTAACTTTGTACCGTTATATTAAGGAAGAGGACAATTTTTAGTTAATAAATGCGCAAAAAATACTAAAATAAGTTTTGAAAGGATAGACGAAGAATGAAAAAAGTTTTTTTTTTACGTTAGAATCGAATTAAATAATTTAATATTCACGTCATCAAAATGCTAAATTTTTTAATCAAGATTAATTCTTAATTAAAATGAATATGCGGAATGGTCAAAAACAAAAAAAGGAACACAAAAATAAAATAAATAAAAACAAATAAGACTCTTAGACGATCTTGTCGCTGTAATTAGGTACTTTAAAACCAGTTAAAAAAAGTTGACTGATGACGAAATACACAAATAACTTCTTATCATAGACTTTTTCAATTGAATAACAAATTGAGAACAATTTGCCAAAAAATTTTGCTATAAAAGCATTAGCTGTGTTATACATAAAATATAGTAGCAAACAGTTCTTTTAAGTGAAATGAAGAAATTCTTGGTTATCGGAACAATCTTAGGTTTAGTAGCAGTATCATCTGCCGGTGAATAAATAATTAATATTTTGTGAAATCGTATGTGATTATATTGGAAATTGAATTTTTATTTTGGTAGGTTATGGTGGTGTTGGTGGAACTGCATCTGCATCAGCTTCAGCATCAGCTAGTGGTAAATAATTTCTTGTAGATTCGATAGATTTGACTAATGGAATAAAATTGCAAATTTTTAATATAGGCGGAGGCCATGGAGGTGGTGGCCTTGGCGGAGGTGGTCACTTAGGTGGTGGCCATATTGGAGGTGGCCTTGGAGGTGGTCATATTGGAGGTGGTCTTGGAGGTGGTCACGGAGGTGGCCATATTGGAGGTGGCCTTGGCCATGGTGGAGGAGGTATTGTTGGAGGAGGAGGGGTAGCACATGGTGGAGGATTAGGTGGAGGATTAGCACATGGTGGAGGAATAGCACATGGTGGAGGTTTAGGCGGTGGTATAGGCCACGGCGGCGGTTTAGGTCACGGCGGCGGTGGAGGTTTACACGGAGGTCTAGGTGGAGGCCTTGGACATGGAGGAGGTTTAGGAGGACACGGTGGTGGAGGTGGTGCTGCTTCAGCTAGTGCAGCTGCTGCTGCTGCAGGAGGAGGCAAGGGAGGCCATTATGGTAGAAAATAGAATTAAATTGATTGTTGTGACACTGTTAATTTATGTGTATAAATTTATGTATTTTTAATGTATATTTCAAACGAAAAAAAAAAACAAAATAAAAACAAATTTGTTATATAATGTTGCTAAAAGTTTTGTACAAAGTATAATTATTGACAAAGTTTTTAAGTCTTTTAATGAATAAGAGCCAAATCAAATAGCTGTTAAAATTCAAAAAATTGAAAAACAAAACATTAAAATTTCAGCATTTTAGCTCGACATCTGTTCTTTTTTAGTTGCAAAAACCTTTTTAAAGAACTTGAAAATTGTTATAAAAATTTAAAATATTGCAAAAATTTTTCATGTTCGGAGTTACTTCTAAATCCCGAATCAAAAGTTTTAAATTGGTTGCAATTCAGAGACTCAGCGAATTTTCAGAATTTCTTAAACTCTAAGATCTAAACCTGAAGCGTGTTTAATATATTAACGATTTCAAGACGAGTCTTTATGCTTATATTTTCCTCTAGTTGTTTACAAGCGTAACTAGTAGTCTCTAGTTGTATGAATTGAAAACATTGTGAGTATTTTCAGCAAAAATACAATTTGTAAAGAAAATAAAAAGAAATTAATAGCAACTATCAATTCCACATTATTTACACAAAGTAACATTATCTTACTTAATTATGACTTAAGGCATAAATGCTACTTTAATTCTTTAAGGTTTCTTTCACAACAATATACATTTATATGTAATAATAATTTAAATAAAAATTAAAATTCTATTAATTTAATAAAATAATCAAACGTTCATCTGAAGCGGATATAGCTAATTATACCTTCTTATTTTTCTACTTTTCCCTTTTTATTTCCATCTCCCTTGCAATGCAAGTTTACACCTCTTCTCTATCGCTTTGTGAAAGTTGCAAAATGAAAACAGCATTCTATAGCGTGCTAAAAAAGATTTTTGTTTTTAGTTGCTTAAATGAAGCGTCTGACTTACATAAGAAAAGATCACGTTTTTTGTTCTTGGAAAAGTCGCAGTATTACATATTTGCAAATTTGATTTGTTCTTTCAATATGAATATAAAATGGACACTTTTCCGTCTGGAATTAAAAACAAAATAATAACATTCTTCCCTATCCCCGAACGAAGGACTCGACTTTGTGGCTCAATATTAAACAAAACTTATAAAGAATTTTTTTGAGACCTGTACAACTGGAAAAAGCTGAATATAATTTCGTTTTAATTTGTAATTTTATCATTTATATATAGCAAACTATTTCACATAAGTTTAAATATTCAAAGGCTATCATAAACGCAAAATACATGTGGATACAAAATTTTTATAAAACTAATTCAATTTAACTTATCTGATTTAATTCAGATTAATCCTTTCTAAAAACAAAGATTAAATTTAGAAACATGCAAAATCATCACCTACAAAATTTCATTTTTCATTTCGCCCCGTTATATTAATAGCATGCTGCTACTTATTCAGCTACTTATTCAATAATGCAAATTTTTGCTAAAAATAGCTTTAAACCTGCTTATGGGAAAATAATGAAATAATTTATTAAATGGTTTGTGTCTTAAATTTATTTTCAAAGTTATGCTTTACGCCGGAACTTATGCAATTTAATTAAAAAATTGATAGAGTTTGGAAACAAAATTTTTTCCGATATTTTTACATAATTATTTTTCTTGTATTTCAAAATTAGTTTTGGTTGCATTAAAGTTCCAGGACGGAGGATTCTACTATATATTACCTATTTTATCGGTTCTAAATTTGTCATTAAATGGTGAGTAATTTTACATTTATGTAAGTAAATATTAGGTTATAATTTAGTAAAAAAAATTGAGTTAATTTGCAATAATCTTGATAAAAATATGTGTTAAGTATGTGTGAAGGAGAAATCTGAATAAGATTAAGATGAGGGAAAAATTTTTAACTAGAATCCCATTAAACCATTTCTGTATTTTTTAAAATATATAAATAGAATGTTTTTAATGAAACCTCCGCGAAGTTACAAACTAAAAGAAAAAGGATAAATTGTACGGATAAGGGATCCAGTCACAGATCGGAATATATTGTAAAAAATAAATATGTAAAAGGTATGTGGTTAAAAAAATTTATGAAGACTTTTCCGTAATTTGTAAATTTTAGGTTTTTGTTTCACTTTACAAAAAAAATTATCAATATTTCTATCAAGATTAGCGAAAATATTGATTATTATAATAAAGAATAGGTTCCTTAAATTAAGGCAAATTACATGATAACATCATTCAATTATTGTTATGTAATATGTAAATATGTAAAAATTTACATACATATTTTAATGTACTAAAAAAATGGTGTTATCCTTTTGGATTTTTATCGGGTGTTAACGTGCCAGTAAAATACGGTTTATAGATTATATTAGCATACCTTTTAAGATAAAAAAATTTTTCATTTACATTTTTCCAATTTTAATTTTAAACCGTGGGATATAAGAGCATTTTTACAAAAACTGTAAAAGAAAAATTGGAAATTAGGAGTAATTAATAGTAAAGAGTAACTTTAAGAAGAACACCTCTAATGTTTTTGAATATTTCATGTATTTTTCAATTCTTATTACTTATAAATTAAAATAATTTTGGAACAAAGATATGTAAGTTACGAGTATTTGTAAAACAGCAAATTTTTGCCTTGAGTTGCTTTTCTTATGTCAATAATTACTACGGTATTTTCTAATACGACAGCTACCATTACTTGTGAAATATTGATGAAGCTAGTGAAGTTTCAAAGAAGTACATAATTTAATGATAATAGGATAACTAGTGATGGAAAGAATATAGAAACAAAATCCACATTTGATTAAACAAAATAAACGATTTTTTAATGTCTGCATATAGTAAACTTCGCAGAACTGGAGCATTATATGTAAGTTGTTGCCTATTGAATTTCATCAAGGTAATAAACATATCTGGAGAGCTCCATAAACTTGTTGGAGTACGTCATTCCGGGACACCGGCTTCCACGTTCACCCTTTGCCCTACACGAACCGAATCTACAAAGACCTTGGAGTGGAAGACTGTCATTCTTAAAACCCAAGAATAAAGTTCAGACCGTCAGCCTCTCTTTTCCTTCAATACCTCGATAATCAAGCACTCAAATCAGCAGAAAATATTTTACCAATGGTTAAAACCTTGATGAAATCAACGCACTCCCTAATAAGATTTGATGTTACTACTTCGGACCAAAGGGCTCAGAGAACAGTCCTGCTATCTGACTGAATATAGATCCCGCCAATGTCTCTTGCCCTAAAAATGTGGCCATCTTTAGTAGCCGCAGGAAAGGTGTTACGGATATGGCTGGATGTTAAAAAATGAAACAAAATTTCGGTGAGTTGATCTCCGTTACGGCCATATTTGTATAGTTTTGGACATTGGGTTGTGCTTTCCTTTCCATTCTAAAAAGAAATTTCATGTTTAACGATTTCATATTAAGCGATTTAGTGGGAGCTATTATAATGGTATTGATCAAAAATTTACTGCAATGTGCACTTTTATTCCTACGTTGCCATGAAGCGTTTAACAAGGCAATCATTTTTAGTTTAAAACCTCAGTTATCATTTGTAAACGGCAATAAAAAATTATTGTGCTCTTTAATACTTAAAAAATGAGAAAATATTTTTGCTTGTATTCATCTTACACCTGAGTTTCTATATTTCAAATCCCCTAAAAAAAATAATACCATTAGAATACTTCCATTGGACGCATATACAAAAAGCATAATTCAAGGATGGTAAAAGTACAAAAGTTAAGAGTTTAATCTACTCAATTTTTAATACAAAATTATTGCTTTTACGGAAAAAAAAGCAAATCCTTGCATTTTATTTTTTTTAGATATTTAGAATTTTATTTTTATTTTATTTGTTTTCATTATGTGTTTTAGTTTTCCATGTATCTGCCAATCAGTGAAATAAAAAACTAAAATTTAAAATTTAGTATGGCAGAATACACAAGCAAACTTTTTTTTTATAGTAGTTAAAGCAAAAATTAAACAGATTAATTTGTGACAAAATGAAATATTATTTGAGTTCTAAGATTGTAATTTATGATATGGAACATATGAGTTTGCAAAAATGCTCAAAATTAAGCTGGACGTGCAGTAATAAAAAAAATCAATTGAAGAATTTGATGGTATTAACAAAATAGAAAAAATTTTGATCTGTCATTCAATACGTACAGTATTTACGTATATGTACGGGTATGTATGCACTTCTGCGTCCATCTTGTTTGTGACCATATTTGAGTTATAGATGTACATAATGCGGTTTCAATTTATTAATTGTTTTAGTAAAGTTTTAAAAAACTTGATTTCATTTAGATTTTTGAAACTCACACTTGTTTCATTCCAATAAATGTATACAGGGTGTCTCGTATCTAAGTGCACTGATATAGTTTATATATATATACTGTTTTGTAGACCCTCACGAGTAGACAAAACTTTTGTATGGAGACGATGTTTAAAGCTCAATCATTTCCGAGTTACAGAAGTTTAAATTAAATTTCAACTGATTTTTTTTCGTTTTTAAAACTTTAAGTATAGCTGCGTTCCTGTGTCAAATAGGGGCATTCCTAAATATGATTTCGTTCAGGCTCCATAGGCCAATTTAAAAAGTCGAAACAACTTCAGTTGGAAGAGAGACCGATTTATATTAAAAA